GCACATAGAGGAGTCAGAAGAGTCCTGTTCCATGACAGGTACAGGACATAGAGAAAATGCTACATGGGAAGACGGTTTGCATTGAGGTGACTAACCAGGGAGGCCTCTCAGAGGAAGTGGCTGCTCAGGAGTGAGGGCTTGGAAAATGTGGAGATGTTGGCTATGTAGAAAAAACAATCTTGAGGTATGCCTAGGAGAGGATCAGGATGAGCCAAGGGAGATAAGTGAAGGAGAACCTGAGTCTTTTGGGTCAGACACAAGGCCTGAAGTGCCAGGTGTGGGATACTGGGCAGCCATGGAGCATTAAGGGAGGGGAGGCACTCAGTCAGGTGACAGTGCAAGGCAGTCTGGAGGGGCAGGTTGGGTGCTATGATGCTGTGTGGCTGTGGGGTGGAAGAAAAGGAGGTACAGGCCTTGGGTGAGGCCCAGAGGGGGTTTCCTCTTTATCTTTCTTTGCATTATTTTCAAACCTGCCACCACCTCTAGCTTCCTGTGCTAGGCACGGCCCATCTCCTAGGTCCTCAGCCATTCTCAGGGCTCCAGCATTTCCAGCTGTCCCCTCAGGATCTCAGCCTCCAGCTAGGGCAGGGGAAGGGGAGAATCATGAGAGAGGAAGGTGGGGAGAATCTAGTCCTGGCCATAAGGCAGGCGTGGAGCTCAGGCAGTGCTGAGCCCACGGTACATCTGGAAGCCCGGGGGCTGCTGTGTGGACCATGGACTGGACCGCAGGAGACTACAGTGGAGGAGCTGGCCTGGGAGGAGGGACGCCTGTGAGAGAGGCCTGGCTGCAGAGAAGCCCAGAGCAAGTCTCTGCTTTCTGGGCCAACTGGAGTTAGGTACACCTAGCAAGGCTCCCAAAGGGGAGTTGGGTGCTACAGAGTTGCAGCCTCTGGGCTCAGCTCTGGCCCTGATGCATTGCATGGGGCCTTCTCCAGGTGCTTGCCCCAGGTTCATACCCTCAGCACCTGTACTGTCCCCAAATATCCTGGGGAAGTCCAGCTCTGCACTTGGCTGAGCCCCAGGGTGTGAGAGGAGAGTCGGGGAGGGGCTGGTACCAGGCTCACTCCTTCCTTGAGCACCCACTGTCACCCCTGCCTGTCCCCAGAACCCCTGAGAGATGCAAGCCAATGACCCAGAGCTGACCCCAGAGGGAAGAGGTGCCTGACCCAGGGGATAGGGTACAGGGAAGGCTTTCCAAAGGGAGAATGTGGCCCATTGGGCCTGGAGGTCGGAGTAGAGGTTTGCCAGGGAGGGATGTGGAGGAGGGGCGATTTGAACCACTCTTTGCAGCAACAGCAAACATTTGCATACATCAGCTCATCCGTGCTACTGGAGCATTATCCGCAGTGTCTTAGGCACAGAGAGGTTGGGTGACACATCCAGCGTCATAGTGGAATTGCAGGTGACAGAAGGTACAGCTGCAGGGCTGGGAGGGAGGTGGGGGCATGGATTTACTCTGCATCCTCTTGGAAGCTCTGGGCCTCAGGGTCCATATCAATGAGGGAAGTACTCACAGAGGTAAACCATGATGGAGTGGGGCTGGCATGCAGGGAAGAGGCTCCCTTTACCCCTTCCCAATGCACTGTGGGGAGGGCACTCCCTGGAGTGAGTGGGTGACACCTTTTGCTGCCCACACACTGATGTCTCCTGTGGGGTTTTGTGGCTTCTTCAAAGGCTTCCGGCCCCTCAGGAAACTCCCATGCAGGCCCCACAGAGAGGGGCGGAGCCAGTGGCAGCTCACTCTCCATCTGATCTGGGACCTCTAGTTTTTACTGTGCTGAACAGGTGGTAGCTTGAGTCGCTGGCCTGGGGTTTGCCCAGGTTGAGGGCGCAGACATGGTGCTCTGGTGTCCTTAACTCCACAGACCCTGGCTGAGTCCTCACCCTCAGTGACCACCTTCCCAGCCTCAACTTGCAGAGTGTCCTCTCACCCCAGCTGGGGACATCAGTGACCTAGAAGCTCGTCTGGGGGTGTGGGCCCCCAAGAAGCTGTCCCTGAGACTAGGGAAGGAGTGAGAACGCAGCAGAAGGGGTCAGGAGGGGCACACTGCAGGCAGCTGCAGCTCTGTTGGGCTGAGGGAAGCACAGGAACTGCACTTAGGAATCTCTCTGGCTCTGCAAGGAGCGCAGGTATCTCCCTCCTGCCCCTCAGCCTGCCCCACATGCAGACCAAAGCCTGGGGCCAAGTCTGTGCAGCAGCCTCATCAGGTAGCTGTGGGTGCAGGGCCAGGGCCAGGACCCCAGAGCACCTCTCTGTCTCTCACTGTGGAAGTCTCGCTAGCACCACCACAATAGGAGAGGCCCCAACCCATGCTTGGTAGCCGTGCTAAGCTCTGGAAGCATTTGTTGGAGGTGGACAGGGAAAGAGGACAGGGGACTGAGGCCCTGGATTCTGCCCTTGGCCTGCCATAGTCCCATCAGGACTCTTCCAGTTGCTGTGGATCAGCAGTTATCAAAGTTTTAGAGCTGGGCAAAAGTTTTAGAGCTGGGCATCCCCCAGGCCCTCCAGCGGTGGGAGTCTGCCCATTCTGGCTGCTGTGAGCAAAGACTACAGGTTTAGGAGCACCACATAGTCACTGTGCCCAGTATTGGAGACTGGATGTCCAAGATAAGTCCTAGGCAGACACAGTGCTTGGTGAGGAGCACTGCCTGTTTTGTACATGGCCATCTTTTAGCTGTGCCCTCATATTTTACCAAGGGGTAAAAGCTCTCTGACGTCTTTGCTATAAGGGTGCTGTCTTGGTCTGTGTTCTGTTGGTATAACAAAACACCTGAGACTGGACAGGTTATAAAAGACAGAGACTTACTTGCCTCAGAGTGGAGCTGGAGGCCCCAAGTGTGTTACCAGTGGTAGCTTGGTTTCTGGCAAAGCAAGGCCTTCCTGCTGTACCATGGAGAGCCAGCGGGTAAGCCAGTGGGTTTGCATCTCCAGCAGATACTTCTTCTGTAACCCCCTAATCCACAATCTGCAAAGGGATCTACTCATTCATGAGGACAAACCCGTTATGACCCATCACCTCCCGGAGGTTCCATTTCTCAACACTGCTGCTTTGGGGACCAAAACAAAAGTTCCTATGTTTTCAGTACATGAACTCTTGGGGGACACATTCAAACCATGGCAGGCTCTGGTCCCACTAGTGAGGGTTTCTACTCACCCCTGAAGGTCCTACCCCTGAATTCTATCCACTGAAGATCGAGGTTGGAGTGCAAATAGTTTTACAGTGGGTGGGTGAGGGCCCTAGGGGTTGGGGCCAGGCAGATCTTGCCGAGGGATAAGCGTCTATGAAGCACCTTCTGTATATACAATTCTGCTTGATCATCAGGAAAAGGAGTTTGTACCTATGAAAAAGTCTAGGTGGCCTGAGTCTGCACAGCTATGGAATGGGTACACAGAGAGACCTTTCCTCACCAGATCATGGCCACTATTGTTTTGATTGACTGATTGGTTGATTGACTGATTGACTGATTGATTTGCAGCACTGGGAATTGAACTGAGGATTAAAAGCACTGTAAGCAAATACTTTATCACTGAGCTGCATCCCTAGCCCTGTTTGATGCTTTTTGAAGGATCTACTGTAGGCTCATGCCTGTAATACCAGCCCTTGGGAACCTGAGGCAGGAGGATCACTGTGGGTTGGAGGCTAGCCTGGGCTATGTAGTAGTTCAGAGTCAGTATAGTGAGGCCGTGGAGAGAGAGAGAGAGAGAGAGAGAGAGAGAGAGAGAGAGAGAGAGAGAGAGAGATCATATAGGTCACACATGGTGATGGAGGACTGTGAATTGTAATTTTAGCATTTGAGAGCCTGGGGCAAGAAAAACAAAAGTTTAAGTCTGACCTTGACTATACAGCAAGACGCTGTCTCAAAAAACAAACAACAAACAGAAACAACCTGCCATCTAAAATGGAAAAATTAGACCAATGTTGGCAGGCTTATGGCTCTACTGGAGCCTGATTTTCCTGTTTGCCTCAGCACGTATATTTGCCTGGTATGCTAGGAAAGGCTCTGGAGCAAACACTGGGCTGTCTTACCTCCTGTTTGTCTCATCTCATCACACTTTGCCTTAGTTTGCCCACCTGTAAAATGGGTTCCCACATCTTAGGTCTACCTCAAGAACCAGAGAGGTTCTTGGGCGAGGGTGAGTGGGAGCCTAGCCCTGGTGCCTCAGTTCCCCTCTCTCCACAGATGGTACTCGGGCAGGATTTCCCGGCAGTTGGCTGAAGAGATCCTGATGAAGCGGAACCACCTGGGTGCCTTCCTGATCCGGGAGAGTGAGAGTTCACCGGGCGAGTTCTCTGTCTCTGTGAAGTGAGCTTGCCGGGATGGGGGCTGTGCAGGGGGGCCACCCCAAGGCAGTCAGAGCAGGGGATGTGCTGAGAGAACAAACTCAGGCCTGTGCTGTGAGGTACAGACATCATTGCATAGGTAGTAAGGAGCCATTGAAGTTTCCCTGTCAGGAGAGAAAGGGGTGACAGCGCTGATGAGGTGGTAGGAGACTGGGTAAGGTACATGTAGGTGCCCAGGACAGTCTCTGGACGGGTCTCACTCTGTGCTGAGGTCCTGCCAGGATGGGCCTGAGACCAGGCAACCGAGAGTTCTCATTCTGGTGCTGCCATTTGCTGGCTGTGTGATGTTGGGCGTGTCATTTAACTTCCCTGGGCATTTCCTTACATGTAAAATAGGTTGTTACAAGAACGAATATGTCAACCTACAGTATTTCAGGCACAGGGTTCTCTTTGCTCAGGTGGTGAGAAACAGTACCCCATGTAGAACAGTGCCTAGCATGGTAACAGTGTCTCCTTGGTTGGAGGCGACTGGGTCAGGACCAGGCGGTCCAGGTCCTTCCTACTCCCAGGACCCTGAAAAACAGGGTCTGAATGCAGGCTAGGGGTCAGTGTGCTGAACTCTGGGAGCCAGGGACAGGCATGGGAGAGCACAGAGTGGGTTTCAGTTCTCCTGAGGGGACAGCAAGCAAGCAAGCCCAGTGAGCCAGGGCGGTGAGGAAGGTCACTCCACTCCTAGGAAGTGGTGGCAGCATCTGAGCAAAGAGCTGGGCTGGGCTAGGAAGTGGCTGGCTGCCCAGGGATGGGGGTGGGGCTGATGGAGGAGTAAAGGGTAGGACCTGGGAGCCTTCTGCAGAGGGGGCAGGAGTGCAAAGGCCCTGGGGTCTGTAGGAATCCAGAGGCCAGCTGGCTGGAGTACAGAGAGTAAGAGCAGGGCCTACAGGAGACAGGAGAGGGCCTGCAGCAGAGGTTCAATGTTTTCACAGAGCCAAAGGGAGAGTGGAGGTTCTTGAGCAGGGGGAGGAGGTTCAATCAAGTTCCTTTTTTTTTTTTTTTTGGTGGAATCTGAGATTGAACTCAGGCTGTTGCACTTGCCAGGCAAAGCTTATTCTACTGAGCCAGCTCCCTAGCCCCTCAAGTTCCATTTTGTAAAGGAATCCCTCTGGCTGCTGTGAGAAGGGTGCTTGGCGGTGATGCTGACAGCAGGAAGGCCTGTGGGGAGACACGGGAGGTGACGGGGTTGGGGACTGAGGGATGTGCTGAGGATACGTGGTGGCCAGGTCTGCACAGTGACATGTCTCTGTGCAGTCTCTGTGCTGTGCCGCCCCTGGGCTGGGGGAGGGTAGCCGGTGTGTCACGTGGCCCTACCGGAAACCCTGTCTTCTAGCGGCTGGGTTCACCAGCAGCCGGCGGCACCCGGACTCCCAAAGGACCTGCAAACGTAGGCGCGTGTGCGCGCCTAGTGGGCCGACAGGACCCGGGATCCTGGAACTGGGAGAAGCCATGGGTGGAGGCTGCGCCCGCGGGAGCCCGTCCTAGCGCTAGTCGGCATCCCTTTTGTTCTGAGCTCAGGGGGTGTGACAGGGCCATATGCTGGAGTGTCAGGGGCGGCAGCTCTCCACGGTGGCGGGGAGCGCTGCTGAGGACAGATCCGAGGCCGCGGGGCTCTCAGCCTCATCACTCAGTTGGTCTCCATCCCCAAACCACGCAACCCGCCGTCCCTCGTTCTCCCGGACGCACTCCGAGCCTCAGTTTCCCCAGCGTGAACACAAGGACGCGGGGAGAAACGCGTAGGACGCTGCGTTTCCAGCGTCTCCTCCGCGCTTCCAGCGCACGCGTCTCCAGCAGACAGCAGGGAGTTGCGCCCGCTGCAAAGGCAGGAAGCGGCTGTTTCCCGAGGGCCAGCTGTCCAGGGCCCGGTCATCTCCTGGGAACGGCGCCTGCCAGGCGGGCTAGTCGGGCTTCGAGTGAGCCCAAGGTCACCTAGCACGGCTGGGACCGTGAGACTCCAGCCGCGTCCGGAGCCAAGCTGCTAGGGGAGGAGGTAGAGGACGTCTCACCCCGTTTGACTCTCAGCACGCTGTCTTTGCACGGCCCTGATGCTGCCCCCTCCTGGCGGCCCCTTGTAAGTGACCTGAGCGCCTGGAGAGTTCGTTCAATAGGCTTTTATCTTTTTTTCTTTTTTTTTTTCCTCTTCCCTTATTGGGAATTGAACTCAGAACCTTGCGCTTGCCACGCAGGCGATTGTGCTGCTGAGCCAAATCTCTGGCCCTAGTGGGCATTTGTTTAAACCAACAAACAAAAAGCATTTATTAAACACCGGGCTGTATGTGAACCTCAGCTCAGGTCAGGATTCAAACCCAAGCAGTGTGATGGGGAATCCAGAAGGCCTTCACGTTGAAGAGATGTGTAATTCAGGGACCGTGGACTCATCCTGCATGGTGAAGACACCCATGAAGAGCTGACAGCTGAGCTGGGCTCTGAAGCGTGAATAGGAGTCTGGTACACAGAAGAAGGGAAGAAATACTAGGCACAAGAACTACATGTGCAGCGTCCCAGAGGCAGGACGGTGAGGGGTGTGTTTGGATAAGTCTGTCTAGAAGGGTCGGTGGGCAGTGCCAGGGTGTGCTTGTGAGTGGGGAGCCATGTGCCCGGGAAGGGACTTGAGCACCCAACTTAGAGAAATCCTGGCACTCACCCCAGCACTTCCCCAAGGGGCCTGGTCACATGTCCCAAGGCTAGGCTGGGAGGAGCCACTGGGCTTGTTGGCAGTGGTCTGGCCACAGTGGCACCAGCTAGCAGCGCTGGCTCTTATTTCTCCCAGGCCCAGCCAGGCCCACCATCCAATGTTGACCCCTCATCTCGGGTGCCTGCCAGCAGGGTCCGACACAGTATGTGGTTGGGAGTGTAAAATTTCAAGCATGAGTCTCAGCTCTGATATCTGCTGGCTGTATGATCTGGACAGTTATCCTTTGAGCCTCATTTTCTTCATCTATAAAGTGAACACTCATGTAAAGAGATTAGTATGATGATTAGTACCTAGTAAGGGCTCAATAAACACCAGATACGGTGGTTACCACATCATGTGCCTAGCAGGGGTTGGGAGCCCCACTTGGTCCTGAAGGCTGCTCCCTGCTCCTGCCCACAGGTCCAGACCTCTCACAGAAGAATGTAGTCCTGGCTTTGCTCTGGTCCCATGGGGTGGCCTCAGGCAGGCTGTGGCTCCCCTTGTCTGAATGAGTCTGAGACCTGGAAATGGTGATCTGAAGAACTATAACGTCTGGCCCCCACGGGTCATCCAGGACCAGAACACCCTTGCAGACTGGGGTTTGAGAGCTCTTTCTCTCGCTGGCTCAGCCCTGGAACTCTGACCCTGTGGCGCATGGCATCTCCTGTCTGCTCATGCCAAGTCCTGTAAAGCTGTCGGGGTTTATAGGCCTCGCGTGGCCTTCCAGAGTGACAGTGGCTACAGCCAGCTGCCCTTTATGAGTTTACAAAGGGCTGCCCCACTCCCCCTAAAGGAGCAAGCCTACACTGGCTGCCAGCAGGCCAGGGGCCAAGGCAGGCGTGCAGGGCCCGGGTTGTGTGCTTCTGCCCACTCTTGTCAGACCATGCAGGCTTTGTGTCATAAGTAACAACTTGTCCCCAGTGTTTTGCTTCTTCCCTGTCAGAGGTGCCCTGGGATTGATGTGCATGTGTTTCCCATCAGGCTTACTGGGTACCTGCTCCTCCAGGCCCTGTCCCTGGTGCCTGTCCTCTTGGTGCCTGTTCTGCTGGGGTGACAGAATGAAGGATTAGGACATTCCGAAGGTCTTGGGTAATGCTCAAGGCTCTGCACACATGAAGCAGGGAGGGCTGGGGGTGTCAGCTCAGGCTAGGGCAGACAAGAAGGGAGGAAATCTGCACAGTCCCCAGAAATTCAACTTGCGGGAAAGTGACGCTCAGAGAGGTCCATTAGCTTGCCCGAGGTCATGCAGCAAGGGACAGAAGAGCTGGTGTGCCTTTCCACCCTCTGTCCCTGAGACCCAAAGACCTGCAGGGCTTTCCCTCGACAGTCTGGGCACTGCCCCTCACAAGGTCAGTTTTTTTTTTTTTTTTGTCCAAGGTCAGTTTGACAGAGACCCCCCCCCCCACTGGGCAGCTAGCACCACACCTGAGCTCCTGGCCCTGGGGGGAGCCCCACCCACCGGCCTTGTTTTCGCTTCCTGGGCTGCTCCTGTCACCTTTGCTGCTGCTGCCGCCACCAAGCTAGAAAAACCCGCTGGGCAAGACGGACTGCCCTGCATCGGGCTAGACTTGGTCCTTTTATATGCATGTGTGAAGGTATTTATTTTATTATTTTCTTAATTTTAATTTTTATTAGTACTATTTGTAGTTTATAGTGATTATAGTCTTTGTGGAGAGTTGGTACATGTACATAACATATCTTAATTCTTTTTACGTTTACCTCACCATCAGTAGATCCTTTTGCCATATGCAAAATGGACTTGGTCCTTAGCTTTCTCTGACAGCCAGGGACCTAGCCATCCCCTTACTCTTTGGGTGGGTGGGTGTGGGGGTCACACAGAGGCAAACATATCCACAACTGCTTATCAAGAGATGGACTCAGAGTCACTCCCACAGTAAGGGACGTACACAAACACACGAGCACACAAGTGTGCGCACACATGCGTGCACACACACAAACACACACAGAGCTGCACCAAGAGCTTACACACCCAGGCTCAGTAGAGAGGCCGTGCCCACACAAGGGCCCAGATGTGGCTGCCCCCATTTCCACTTGGCTCAGGCTTCCTGAAGTCTCCCCAGTCTAGGCCCACAGCTTGTCCAACCCAGTCTTCCAGCATCAAGGTCACCAAGCCCCAGACTCAGCGGCTCTGCCATCCAAGGCTGCCTGGGCCCTGGGTAGTGGGGCTGAGGCCGAGGGGGCCCTGGTGGCTCCTGGTCTGGGAGGTTTTCAAATGCTTCAAGGCTCCATCCAGGCCTCAAAGGATGACAACCATCAAGATCAGGCTGAAGGAAAAG